ACTCTATAATCCAAATCATTCAGTTGCAGTAAAGTCAAAACTTATCTTATTCGGTCTTTTCTATTTGTAGAGTAAGTTTATTACATTTTCAAAAATGCTCATGAGAGTTTTCATACCTATGATGATTCTTTCTTTACCTTGAGTTGTTTGTTGTTTTGAGTCTATTTGTTTTATGCATTTCTTATTTCTATTTTTTTATTTTTCTTCTTGTTGTTTTTCCTCTCTTTGTGATGTCAAAAGGGGGAGTAGTATTTTGTTGGGTTGTTTATTATTATTGTTGTTATTGTTTGCATATTATTTAAAATTTTTAAAAAATTACACTCCTTTTTCTTATAATTGATTTTCATTTGAGGGGGAATTTAGAGGAAATCAACTTTTTAAATATCTAAAAACAACAATGTTTGTCAATATAAAAAATAGGGAGATTATTGCAAACTTGATTCAAATACTATGATATTGATGATAACAATTATTATTGTGTCTGTTATTGCTTTCTCTTATTCCTGTGATATTTTTTATGTTTGTATGTACTAATATTTTAGAAAATCAGTCTATCGTTCACTTGCAATTCTAATCAACTCAAGATTAGGTAGACTAAGGTTACAATTGATTTTCATTTTATTTTATATTTTCTCATTTTTTTGAGTCGTAACATGTAATTGGGTGGATATTATTGCTGAGTAACCTTGCACACACACAGGGGGAGAGATAAAAATATTTTTAAGAGAGTTTTTTTAAGTATTTTATAATGTATGATCTTGGTTTTGTACTATATGATTTTAATTCATACTATAGGAAATGTTGTGCTCTTTCAAAACCCTAGTCGCCAAAGGTTAAGAAAGATATTAATTATGTATTGGTCGTACAGTATGATTTGGTTCGTATTGTATGCCCTAATTAAAATCTTTTTTAATTAACCTCTTAATTTCATGTAATCAAATCATGAATAATTATTGTGATTGATCATACTATACGATAGAATTCATATTGTTTGAATCACTACCGGAAAAATGCCAAAATCTGACTGTTTTTTTCCGGCGGTTACTATAGATTAACCGGTGGTTTTATGGATTACCGGCGGCTTTGCGGTGGTATTCCCGCCGCTGGAAAAAATCGCGTAGGAAACATGTACCGGCGGTTTTGTACCGGCGGTTTATGTTGGCGGCAATTTTTCGGCGGTTTATGTTGGCAGCGGTTTTCCGGCGGCTCATACCGCCGGTGACAACCGGATTTGGACCCGGTAATTTTCCTGCCGTTATGCCGCCGGTTATTTGATCGACGGATGACCGGCGGTCATATTACCGACGGTCTTCCAGCGGTTAAAGCGGGTGTCGTTTGTTTCTTAAACAGCCGGCAAGCGCAGGTAGACTGCCGGTTCATTTACCGGTGGTATCTGGCGGTTACAGCCGTTGGTATTACCGACGGTGTACACCGCCGGACGTCCACTGTAACACCGCCAGTGGCCGCCGATTTATTACCGGCGGTGTAATGCCATTACCGGTGGCTTGGCATTGGCCGTCCGGTATCGTAGTTTCCGGCGGCCAAATCGCCGGTTGGCCGCCGAAAACCTGTAGCACCTGCAAAAAAAAATTGACAGCATCCCCTCTATTTGAGGGAGGTTCACCCTAAAGTCTAAACCTGTAGAAAGAGCAAGATATTTTGGGCAACACGCCGCTATATTCATCAGAACCATAAATTATAAATACAATCACAAGCTCATCATAAGATTACAATCACAAGTTCAGAAGTAAGTTCATGATAAGGTTACAATCACATGTTCTAATTAATACAATCATCAAACATAAAAAATATCTAATCCTCATATGTATCCTCATTGTCTGCAGATGGCTGCTCCTGTTGGTCCTTCTTCCTCTGTTTTTTAGCTCTGTAGGATTGCAACTCTGCTTGGATAGTCATATGAACGTTGAAGCAAACGTCACCCTACATAGTTATGAAAACATTTATTAGAATACATGCATGTGCAAACGTGTTATAATTTAGGCAAAGAGCATTAACCCAAGACAGTTGCTATATAATATCTCTCCATCTAAACATCCTCATCTTTGTGTATGCTTTTTATTGCTAACTAGACATTTGCAAGAGGATGTATCTTTGTGTATGCTTTTGTTAATGCTATTCTTCTAGTTGATAAGACTAGAGAGGAGAGTTGAAGGTAAACTTGAATTATGGAGGTCAACCTTAGAGTCTAAAGGTTTTCACTTAAGTGTATCTAAAACTAGATGAGGATATTATCAGCATAATTCAAGTTGAGGATATTATTAGCATAATTCAAGTTGGATGGTTGAAATGGAGGAATGCATCGGGCTTGTTGTGCGATAGAAAAGTCCCCCTCAAACTTGAGGGAAAATTCTATAAGATGGTGACACATGCAATGCTTTATGGTGCCGAATGTTGGCCATTAAATGACAAGCGCGCATAAGTGGATTTACTTTTCACATATATTCTCGTTTTCATTCTCCCTCTTTCTTTTCCATATCTCTCCCTTTTCAATCACTCTCTCTCTCTACCCCTCCCTCTCTCTTTCGCTCTCTCACTCTCCCTCTTTCTAGTCGCTCTTGCTTTCTCTCTATCTATCGCTCTCGCTCTCTTGTTCTCTCTCTCTCCCTCTCACTCTCTTTTTACTCTCCCTCTCTTTTCTCTCTCCCTCTCCCTCTCTTTTCTCTCTCTCCCTCTCGATCTCTCGCTCTCTCTATCCCTCTTGTTCTCTCTCCTCTCTCCCTTTCACTCTCTTTTCACTCTCCCTCTCTTTTCTCTCTCCCTCCCCCTCTCTTTTATCTCTCTTCCTCTCGATCTCTCGCTCTCTCTAACACTTGCTATTTATCTATCTCTCTAGTTCTCTCTCTCTCTCTCTCTCTCTTCTCTCTCTCTCTCTCTCTCTCTCTCTCTCTCTCTCTCTCTTACTCTCTCATATATCTCTCTCCCTCTCCCTCTCCCTCTCATTTCTCTCCCTCAATCTCTCTCTTCCTATCTTGCTCTAACTCAAAGTCACAATCAACAAAATTGATCTACCCTAAACTAAAATAACACTTAATAAAAAAAAATTAGATCTAGCAAAATGATTACAACATTACATCTTTGCTTACTACCTAAATCATCCAAAATATCTCTAACACTTGAAAATGTGTAGTGAGAACAAATGATCAAAGAAAAACTATAAAAAATAACCTTAAAATAAAAATCGGACGGTTTGGGGTCTGACTAGGACGGCGGTCGGACGTCGGAGTTTAACCGTCGGCGGTCGGACGAGCGGAGGCGAGCGGAGGCGATGGCAGAGCGGCCGAGAGAGAGAAGGAAAGAGTAAAAATGAAATGCGAGGCACGGGTCTGGTCATATTAGGGCTTCTACCGGCGGCTTTCCGACGGTCTGGACCGCCGGTAAAAAATCACTTATCAACGGCGGTCCAAGCCGCTAGTAAACCGTCGGTTCATATTAATGTCCAGCGGTTTACCGTCGGTTTAGGGACCGCCGCTAGTACCGGCGGCTTAACGTAGTAAAATCATCGGTTAGGCCGCCATTAAAAGCTGGCGGTCACACCGCCGGCTATGCCGCCGGTAACACCGGCGGTCCATGAACCGCCGGTAATGGGAATTTTTCCTGTAGTGAATACTCGTGTACAAAATTGGTCATCTCAGAGATCGTACCAAACAAAATCTATAACTTTTTTATTATCATATAGTATGATATCCACAGTACTAGATGATCACCCTTGTATGAAGTTAGCCATCCCAAACAAATAGAAGGAATTTTTATAGTTCGTACCTTATAATGTATTAATCATACTGTATGAAATGTTTTAACAGTTGAATAGTTTGTCTGAATGATCTTGCTGAACGAGTTAGAATTACATTAAGCATACTATACGATATGTGTATCGCACTGTATAAATTGATGGTTTTTGAAATTTATGGTTTTTTAAGCCTAGTACTATTTAAGGATTTCTAATACTCTAATTAGAAATTCTTTTACTGTTGGGTTGACCTGAGAGAGAGCATAAAGAAGGAAGAGAGGAGAGCCTTGAGAGAGAGAGAGAGAAATCTTTGTGAGGGTGAATTGTGAGGGATTCATAAAGATTGCTCAAGTAAGGTTTCCACCATCTTCTTCAATCCTCTTCCTTAGTTCCTTGGTGGCTCTAGGGAATCTTTCATTGGCATCAGTTCCAAGGTTCTCTGCCTACTCCACAAGGGAGTAAAATGATTCCAAGATTCTCTACCTACACCAGGAGGGAGTAAAAGGATTCTAGGTTCTCTGCTTACTCCAATAGGGAGTAAAATGATTCAAGGTACTCTAACTCATTAGATCGGTGGAAAGATTTTATAAAAGCTTCTCCATCTTGCTGTGAGGGCAAAAAAAGATACACCACTTTTAGTGCAATACCTATAAGGAGGTTTTCAGGGAGTAGACATAGGTTAACTTGACCGAACCACTATAATTCTGGTGTGTTCTTTCTATTTAGTTTTTTGCATTAATTTTTGCATTATTATATAATTTGTTATGTTGTTGAAATATCTTATTTTGGTTATTGTGAAATTCATTTGCTTTCGCATAAATTATTTATTTTAAAATATTCAAAAAGATTTTCTTTTTGCCTTAAATTTTTTTTTTAATAACCAATTCATTCCCCCCCCCCCCCCCCCCGCCCCCCCCCCCCCTCTCGATTTGCCTCAAGCTACTTCATAAAGGTTTAACAACCCTAACAAACATTCCTTAAAGATGTCAATCTCAATTTCTAATTAAATAATTGCCTAAACTATCTTGTATTTTTTTTTTGGAAGAATGCGAGATTGCATTAAAAATCTAAGAAAATTTCAACCAACTCAAAAAGAAACTAAAGCATCATATTCCTCCTTCAAACAATTCAAGAATGAAGGAGGAATCTTTACATCCGTAAGATCAAACCAAATAAAGGAATTATTCACACCCAAATTAGCACAAATATCTGCTAATTTGTTACACCCTCTGCTACAAAACGAAAACAAAACTTAGTTGAAGTCTTGTAAGAATGCCAAGTTATCATCTATTCTTTCTTTATTCTTCCAACCCTTCAAAGCCACTTGAAGAACTTTAATAATATTGAAGTTATCACCTTCTATCATCACACCTTGAGATTTGTACATCCAATCTTGCAGAAAATTCTTCAAGCAATAAACAACCATTAATTCCAGTTGAGCTATATCCCAATGCACGTATTGAGCTCCAAATGCTGCCAAAAACTGACCCTTGTCATCCCTAACCACGCCTCTAATCCCAGCCATGTTGTTACATTTCAGTGCAGCATCTACATTAATCTTTATCCACCCGGGTGGAGGAGGATGCCAAGAATTAGAGAGCTTGCGCTGGTTGACATCCCAGTTGTCCGAGGAAAGATTGATAAAGTTTCTCATCATAGTCAAAGAAATCGAGTTTGCTGCTGTGGTAATATCCGAGTCCTCCACTCCTTCATGAACCAACTTACATCTACTTTTCCAAACAAGGAAAATAGATGTACAGTAAAGATTTGCAATAAAGAATTTGTAACCTGCATACCTCTTAAGCCCATCCAAGCAGGTTTTGAAATCTTTAAATAATGAAATTTGAAAGCCCCATCCGTTCAGCAACCTGATAACATTCTGAAGTTTAACATAACTCCCTGCTATATGCCAGCAGTCTTCATCTACGTGACATCCTCTCGGGAAAGCAGCAGCTCCACTTAATCTTATTTTTACCAGAAATGCATTTGAAGGAATCGCTTCATTATAAAGCCTCCACCAAAAGAGTTCAACTCTTGGTCTCAATTTTAATTTCTTCATCCATTACCAATGGTTAATATCTATACTACGTTCCATAAGGGCTTCAAAAGACAAAGCTACAATAGATTTCCCTGAATTCTTCGTTTTTAGTTCCAATTGATCATAGTTTCTGTTAGCTGCAATCGGAATTTGACTGATAAGCTCCACCAGTTGTTCTCCAAAGAACACTTGCAACTGATTCATATTCCACACTCCATCCAAAATAAAATTGCATAAATTGTAATTGGAAGACTCAATAGTATTTACAAATGTCGGCCATTTAGAGAAGCTTTTGTCAAGGACCCAAGAGTCAAGCATCCAGTTAATAGATTTCCCATTAGAGATATTCCACCTCACAATGTTCCTAAGAAAGAAAGCCCCTATGGTAATAATCTTCCAAGTAGGAGAGCAAGCATTCTTCACCGGATCATTCCAAATATCCTTTCCATATTTGTTTCTAAGAACATTATAGAGCAACGAATCAGTCTTCATGAAGAAGTCCCAAGAAAATTTTGTTCGAAGAGGTCCAACCTTGGAAACCGCAGAAAACAGTCCACGTCCCCCTTCATCTTTTGGCTTGCAAAGCAGCTCCCAAGAGGCATAGTGCAGCCCAGCACTACTATTTTTTTTTATTCCACAAGAGTCCTCTACACATCTTGTCAAACTCTTTAAGAATACTCAAAGGAACCAAGGTAAGAGAGCATAAGAACATTGGAAGAGCAAGAAACACAGATTTAACTAGAATAAACTTTCCCTCTAATGAAATACAATGCTTCCCCCAAGTGTTCAGTTTATTAGCAGCAGATTCCAGCAAGTTTTGAAAGTCAGAAACAACCCATCTCCTTAAAGTTAACTTCACACCAAGATAGGTTATCTCATTAACAACTTTGTACTTGAGAATTCTATCAAACTTCTTCTTTATTCTGATTCCGGTATGCTTACCAAACATTATACTAGATTTGGAATTATTAACATGTTGTCCCGACCATTTGCAATATTGGGAAATAATGCTCTTCAGATCCTTAATCTTCCTAACATTAGCCTCCGAGAATAATAAAGCATCATCGGCATAAAGCAAGTGTGATATCTTGAGAGCACTAGGAGTAATAGAAATACCAAAATAATTCTTCTTCTGGTTTATAGCATCCGACAAAATTTGGGAACAAAGGATAAACAAATATGGAGACAAGGGATAACCTTGTCTAAAACCACATTTGCCTATGATCCAATCCGACTTTTTCCCATTAACCAAAATGAAATATTTAGGATCACAAATGCATTGCATTAAAAGATCCCTAAATTTGTTAGGAAAATTAAAATGAATAAGCACTTGCCTTAGAGTTTGCCACCCCATGCTATCATAAGCTTGCTCCATGTCTAACTTGATAGCCAAGAGACCTTTCTTAGCATTAGAATATCGAAATTTGTTGAATACTTCCTGAGCCAGAAGAACATGTTCAGACAAGGATCTGCCTCTAATAAAAGCAACTTGCTCTGCCGAAATGATCTTGTGAATAGCCCTCTCCATTCTATTCAGTAGCATCTTTGCAACGACTTTATAAATAGTCTTACAAAGCTAATTGGCCTGAAATTAGAAACCACCTGTGGATTTTTTATCTTAGGGATTAAGACAATCATTGTTTCCTTCCACGATTGGTGCATAATCCCAGAAGAAAGAAAATCACTAACTGCTTGCCAAACATCCTTCTTAACAATCTTCCAAAAGTCTTTGACAAAGGAGAAGGTGACCCCATCCAAACCGGGTGAAATGTTTGAACCGGCCTTGTCCACCACCTCCTGCAATTCATCCATAGTAAAATCTACATCCAGCTTACTACGGTCATCTTCGCCAATAGTATTATAAGGAGTCGGCCAGCCATCCATTAAGCATTCCCTACACTTCCATTTTTGAATAAAAAAAATCTGAAAAAGTTTTATGGATTTCAGCCAAATCTTCAGTAACCGAACCTCCTTGAGTTTTGATATGACTAATCCAATTCTGATTTCTTCTAGCATTTGCAAAAGCATGAAAAAAGGAAGAATTGGTGTCACCATGTTCCATCCACTTAGCTTTAGCTCATTGCCTCCACTAAGAATTGAGCCGAGCCAATGTAACATTGTGTTCATTGACTTTAAATCTAAGAAGCTGCAGTTTTTCTACAGATAAACCCCCTTCGGCTTCCTCCAATTGGATTTCCAAAATCTCCTCCTTCAACTTATCCCTTACTAAGTTCAGATTTTTAAACTTAGCTCTACTCCAAAAGAAAAGAGCTCTAAGAGCTCTTTTAAATTTCAATTTGAGAGAAGTGACCGGGTCATTCCCACTATCCTTATTCCACATTTTCTTCACAATAGAAGTAGCCCCGTGGTAAGAAGACCACACATATTCATAACGAATCCCTCTACTATAAGTCTCCAAAGGTTTAAAGATTTCCAAAAGAATAGGACAATGGTCCGAGGCTATCCTTGAAAGGTGTTTCACCTGAGCAAGAAGAATAGAATTCAAAGCAGTGGAATTAATAAGACACCTGTCCAATTTCTCTAAAATCCAAGCCCCTCCCGATTTATTATTGCACCAAGTGTACTTGGGACCCATAGACTTCACCTCATGGAGATCAATATGAATCATGAAATTCTTCATATCCACAGAGCCTTGAGGCATGATGAATTTTTTTCCGTCTCTTTTTTCATCCTAAGAAAGCACACAGTTAAAGTCACCACCCACCACCATAGGACAATCAACAGAACAATGTCTCTCCAAACATTCCCATAATCCTTTCCTAATTACAGCTTTCGGACTTGCATAAACTGACGCCACCTTCCAACAACCCTTATTAAGGATTTCCAAATTTCCAATAATCACTTGAGAAGAATGTTCAATCACCGAGAACGCCGCTAGATCCTTTCTCCATAACACATCAACCCGCCAGAGAGACCTTCAGAAGGAACCATAAAAGAATCCCAATTACTTCCCAACAATTTTAAAATGTGAGAGTTATCCACGGAATTCAACTTTTTTTCCAGCAACCCCACAAAAAAAAGCATTGTTATCTTTCACCAACTTCTTGAGATATAGAGCGGCCTCCACTTTCTTGGCCCCTCTACAGTTCCAAAAAGCCAAGGAAGTTATTGTTTAAGAGTGAGGGTGGCACCCCCAATCTTCTTAAATTTTTCACCTTCCAACTTCCTATTTGGAGCAATGATGTTTGAAGACCCAAGGGATTTAAGCTCTTTCAGTACCTTTATTTTTTTTTACCAGAAGAGTCCGTTGAAAGAACCTTCTCCGACCCCTGGTTAATCACTAGCTCCTTACGACCAGCAAGATCCAAATGATCATTGCAACCCAAATTTTTTACCACAATTTCCCTTTCCTCAGCACCTTCTTCCTCCCATATGGCCTTGACTCCCAAAATGTCCTTCTCGACAGCACCACCATTCACAATATGTAAACTATCAGAAATAGAATAGGGAATACCTGAGTTCGCAAGCAATCTATCAGGACCTGCTTGAGTTCGCAAGCAACCCACAACAGCAAATTTACATGCTGAAAATTGAAGACCATCAGCAGCAACATCAGCATCTACAAAATTACATCCAGAATCAACCACCTTATTATTACAATCAAGCTCCAACAAAGACATTTCATGAGCTGTTTTATTATTCACTTTCACCCCACTATTTTTGTTAACCATTTTTACAGCAGCCTCCTCCACGCTACTAGCAGCCAAACCTTTATCAAAATCAGATTTTTGGATTTCTTCCTTCCCTAGAACAACACGTTCCCTCTCTGGGATGGCCAACTTCTGAACCGGCTGTATAGTCTATTCAAGAGAGCTCTTATTCTTTACAACATTCATTTTAGGATTGTTATCAAAAACTCTCTATTGGTTAAACCCTCTACCTTTCTTACGATTAACCATTATCCAAGGACCGTAAGAAACAAAATCCAACATTTAAGATTCCTTTACAATTCCATCTCCCATCCCGCCTTCCTGGCTATCATCCTTCTTCTCTGAAGGAACAATATTTTCCTTATTACAATCCTTTTCCTCATGACCAATCCTCCCATAATGGAAACAAAAGGATGAAATTTTTTCATATTCAACTCATTGAAAAAATCTCCCCTAAATACTATCAACCCAAACCCCTTGTTGCAACCCATGACCCCGAGTTTGAGATTTTGATGATGCCAAATAATGAGTGTTTTGGAACAACTTTTCATTGAATATTATTTTATTTGCTATTGTCCTTGAGTACTAACATTTCAGGAAGATCACAAGTGACTCAGGACGAAAGGAAGACTCAAGAACGGGTAGATTAGGAGTATGAGTCAGATATTGTATTTTTTATTTATTGTATTTTTATTTTCTTGAGTCTGGCCACAAAATGCATAAGAGTAAGAGAAACCATGCACACACACAGAGGGAGAGTTTGTTTTTAAATGCAAAATGTAATAGAATTTCTTCTCTGTAGATCGTACTGTACGATTTTAATTCGTACCGTACGATCCAAGCTATGTGGACGTTTCTGTGAATAGATCATACTGTACGAATCTCTTCGTACTGTACGATATGTTCAGATCCAAAAACCCTAGCCGTAGTTTAGTTTAAGTAAGTGATTTTGCGCCGTTCGTACTGTACGAACATGTTCGTACTGTACGATCAATTTTTAAATACTTACTTAAATCAACCCGTGATTAGTGCATGAAATCCATGCCTAATTAAATTTTGAACATCATACTATACGAACCTGATCGTACCATACGATGAACAGAGACGAAGTATGATCGTCCCGGATATCTTCTTGGACGATCTCTTGGTTTTTGTCACATCGTACTGTACGATAGTAATCGTACCATATGATGAACAAAGATGACATCTGATCGTCCAGACCATCGTCCTGTACGAATAGTATTTTGTGAACCGTACCGTACGATATTATATCGTACAGTACGAATTCTTTTTGAACTGTTAGTACACCTTCGTACCAAGATGATGTCTGTTTATGAAGATCGTATTGTACGATGGGTAATCGTACTGTACGATCAGTAAAGGCTACTTTTGAAATCAGAGGTTTTTGGAGCCCATTTTAGATGTCAATCAAGTCCTTTTTCAGTAAGAATCACAGAGGGGGTGAACGTGGTTAGAGAGGGATTCCAAGGGAGAGAGCTCTAGAGAAGTTCTTTAGGGTTGAGAGAGGAAGGAGAAGTTGAGCGTTGTGAGGGAGAAGAGGTGTGAGGGAGATCACACGGTTGCTCTGTACTTGCTGCATCTTGCTCCTCTTATGGCCCTAGAAGAATTTGAGGGAGGATCTCCAAGGGAAAGGCTCGTCTACATCCGTGACCTCGAGGTTCTCTGCCTTCTCCAGGAGGGAGAAAAACGAGAAGATTCTGTACCATCGCCAGGAGGGCAAAAATAGAGTTTGGCACACCGCCACGCCGGGTAGGTGAAAGGGAGGTTTGTAAAGGCTTCTCCACTATAGGAAAAATGCCGAAATCCGGCGGTTTTTTCCGGCGGTTATCCTATATTAACCGGCGGTTTTTTTGACTACCGGCGGCTTTACGGCGGTTTTTGCGCCGCTAGAAAAAATCCCGTAGGAAACTATTACCGGCGGTTTTTTACCGGTGGTTTCCGGCTGTGACGCCGCCGGTTAATTGACCGACGGCCTACCAGCGCTCTTTTTACCGACGGTGCTCCGACGGTTTAGTTAGCCTTCGTTTGTTTTTAAAACCGCCGGTTACTTAACCGGCGAAAGACGGCGGTCTAAATGTCGGTATTTCCGTCGGTCGAAACCGCCGGATATCCACCGTAGAACCGCCAGTGGCCGTCGGTAACCGCCGGTAATAAACTGACGGTGTAATGCCATTACCGGTGGTTGATTATTGGACGTCCGGTATCGTAGTTTTAGCAGCCAAACCGCCGGTTAGCCGCCGAAAACCTGTAGCACCTACAAAAAAAAATTAATAGCAACCCCTCTATTTGAGGGAGGTTCGCCCTAAAGTCTAAACCTGTAGAAAGAGCAATATATGTTGGGCAACACGCCGCTAGATTCATCACAACCATAAATTATAAATACAGTCACAAGCTCATTATAACATTATAATCACAGTTCACAAGTAAGTTCATGATAATGTTACAATCACAAGTTCTGAAGTTCACAAGTTCTAATTAATACAATCATCAAACATAAAATAGATCTAATCATCATCTGTATCCTCACTGTCTGCAGATGGCTGCTCCTGTTGGTCCTTCTTCCTCTATTTTTCAGCTCTGTAGGATTGCAACTCTGCTTGCATTTCATTCTGAACCTTTCTCATTTCTTCAATCTCTCTAGATTGAACCCTTTTCATCTCTTCAAT